AAAATCCCAATTTTTCACGCAATTTCCTGTGACATTTTCTCGGAACATCCCAGATGCGAGTTTTATGAGTTGTTCAAAGTTAACTTAGCGTAAAGCAGCTGGGGGATTGAGAGGTGGACGTTGCCATCAACTCAGCTAGCTAACTGTATAAATATGCACATACGACTAAGCTTTCGGCCAGCTGCTGTTGCTGCAGCTTCCTGCTGCTACTCCTGCTCCTGCTGCTACTCCTGCTCCTGCTGCTACTCCTGCTGCTGTTCCAACTGCAACCCTGAACAATGACAGGCGTTATTTTTGGGCTTCTGGACACGCTACCCTCTCACTCTTTCTCTTTCTCCGTCTCTAGCTCTCTCTCTCTCTCTCTCTTTCTCTCTCCTGCTTCTACACACAATTATAGGTACAGGTGCAGTCTTTTAGCCCAACTGCTGCTCCTACTCCTCATTGTCGTAGTCGTCGTCGTCGTCGTCATCCTTCTCATCATAACCCAAACGAAACGAGGTTAATTAATGAATTGTTAATATCATTTGCGACCACACGTCGTCACATACACATCGTGTTGTCCTTAGCAACCAACGAAGCTGCAGTCGTTCCTCTGCCATCTACCCCGCTGCTCCACTGCTCTGCCGCTCTGGCTGCTTCATTTGCCCTGCTAAGCAAACAGTTGCAGCAACGATCTCTGCGCCTTGGCAGCTGCAACATAATATTATTATGTTGGTATGTGGGTGACTGCGGGAGGCGGCGGGCAGGATGCATGAGCGTGGAGGGTCGCTGCATTTCTCTACTTCACCTCTTTTTTTTTAATTTTTTTTTTTTTGTTATGCTTTGGCTTTGCCAAGCGTCAGCTGCAATCCAATTTTTAGCTCGAACAATATGTGTGTGTGTGTGTGCAGACATGTGCTGCTAAAATAATAAAGCAACACACACACATACATATCCAACTGTGTGTGTGTGTGTGAGTGTGTTCTGCTGCTCATTATTATTAAAATTTGTAGAATTTTTGGGTTGCAACTAAGCTGCATATAAATTCAGCTGCTTGCAGCTTTCAAAATTTTGCAACTGTTATGTTAAAGGATGCCAGCCAAGCTGCTGCTGCTGCTGCTGCTACCGCATCCTGCCTTACTACCGCTTGCTGCCTTGCTGCTGGCTGCATAATTTAAAGCGCAACCGCAACTTGACAATTTGCAAGCGTGTGGCAGCAGCTGCTTCAGCCAGCGCCATGGAGCGACAAGGAGCAGCAGAACTGAACTGAACTGAGGAGCTGAGGCGCTGAGCAGCTGAGCTGAGGTGCTGAGGAGCTGCGGAGCTGCGGAGCTGTAAACAATGAACCAAGCAAGCAACCAACCAAGCAGCAAGTAAGCAACCATCTACACAATTTAACCCACTTTCCGCCCATAGACATAACTCTGGCGCAAAACTCAAGCGATTTGCAGAGATTATCGCTGCCATCTTCGAGCTCAAGCTTCATATATAATGTATGTATGTATGCATATATTTTGAGACAACATTGTCCTCCGCTTCCTGATTAATGATGATAAATATTATGATGCTCCAGCATTTGCTGAATAACTACACCAAATGAATTCTATAAGCTCTACAAAATACAAAATACGCTTTGCTGTAGAACATCATATTTTTATTTTGGTTGAATAAATTTGGCCCGGGGTACGTTAAGTGCAAATTTGAAGTTTTTCGAAATTGTTTTCAATTATTCTATTTCTATTTATTTTTTTTTTCCAATGGAACATGAAAATTGCCTTTGGCTGATTCAATTAAATTTTGAACACTTTCTGTAATAGCAACAACTTATTTTTTATATTGTTTATTCATAAATTTGCATGTGCAATGTATATGTAATAAAAATATATCAATTGAAAATACAAAATCTAATTTTATTCATTGATTTAAAACAAACAAAATGGAATAAATGTAAACGTACTGAATTGTAAAATTTGTTACTGCGAATTGAGATATAGAGAAGGCAAATGTTGAGAGAGAGAGAAAAAAATAAAGGTATGGTTTAAATAGAGAAAATGAGGGAGAAAATAGAAAGAAAGAGAGAGAGAAAATTAAAAAATATAAGGTAAAAAAAGGATAAAATTATTATGTTATTATTGTATTATTTTAACTATATAATGCTTGAAATTAGAATTCATATATTTATAAATATTTTGGCATGTTACAGTTTTCCCAAACCTTTATATGTGAATAAAACATTTCAGATTTACAGTCATCGGCAACCGAACCGAACTAGTTCACATCTACCAAATGAACAATTGAAGGTAATCATTCGATATTATCAGAATTGGTAGTCCTCAAAGAACTTTTGAAGAGCTTCAGTTGAATGATTATTGCCAATAGTCAATGCCAAGCTGTATCCATTACTTTATCTTGTTTCCGAACAGTTTGAGGAGTGCCAAGACAAGTTGCTCATGCTGTCTGTATCTACTTTACAAACAGATTTCGATATCTGTGATGATGGGAGATTTGCGATGCATTCCGCTCTACGCACTCGGACAATTGAATTAGTTATTTGCCTGCGTTCATGAGAACTTGCCACGTGATGGGAAATATTCATTTGTGAATCACTGGCAAAGAAATTGAATTAAGTACGTGTTCGACTGGCTGCCTCTTTAAGATTTCGACCTTTTTCAAATCTCTATAGTTGGCATTAAAGCTAAGGCCCAAATCATAGCGAAGGCAT